GTAGTATTAACACGTAATATTAACATGTAGTATTAACACGTAATATTAACATGTAGTATTAACATGTAGTATGAACATGTGGTTTTTACAGCTCTAAGTTCAGGTGTGAACGAACTCAAACTAAAACAGATGACATACGTGTTAATTTGCATGTAGAGCAGGGAAGTGAGATCCGACACGTTCAGGACGTGTTTTAAAACGAGGTGTGAAACAGGAACTAGACACTGGCCACATGTGATCGAGTCTCTCAGGACAGATGTTAAAACCACGTCTGGACACAGCGTCAGATTCAGTTTTACGGTGGATTTTCCCTTTAAACTGATTCACATTCCAGAGAGAGGGGGAGGTGTGTGTGTTGACTCACTGCTAACCACACACACACACACACACACAGACACACACACAGAGCCAGATGTTGTCAGTGTGAGGGGAGGGAAGGGGGGGGCAGGAAACAGCTCCACAGCAACGAGACAAGAAACTTCAGAACCTTCAACTTCCCTCGAGAACTGTGTATTGGTCGATTGACCGATTGATGTGTTGATGAATGTGTTCTCAGCGTGTGTGTTGCGGTACAATGGATTCTCTCTGGTCTACGTCATCCTGCTGCTGATGCTGCCGCTGCTGCCTGACCCCGCCTCCACCACAGGTAGGCTACAAATACCAATCAGTACTGATCGGTACTGATCGGTACTGATTGGTGCGGATCTGTAAACCACACATGTGAACAGTAATAAAGACAATTTGATGAAAAACATTGAGTATAAAATCTTCAGTGCAGATAAACCAGGCAGGATGAACATAAAGTTTTCTGACTTCACTCTGCACCAGAGATTGTGTTTATAAAAGGCTCTGAACACAAACTATGACAAGTGACAGATTATTGTAGACGAGTTTGAGAACGACTCACAAATGACGGGGAATAAATACAAACACAAGAAAACACAACATTACACACACACAACAACAGGGACTGAACTGGTTATAACAAGAATACTACTACTACTACTAATACTACTGATAATAAATAATAATAATTGTTGAGTAGTGTCACATCTAGAGAACATACAGTTTGTGACATGTACACACACACACACACAGTAACAAACACACAGTAACACACACACACACACACACACACAGTAACACACACACACACACACAGTAACAAACACAGAGTTACACACAGTAACACACAGTAACACACAGTTACACACAGTAACACACAGTTACACAAAGTAACACACAGTAACACACAGTTACACACAGTAANCAAAGAATGATCAATGAAACATTCTACAATTCAAACACACACACACTCAGTACACACCTGGTACTAACATGTAGTACTAACATGTAGTATTAACAACTGGTACTAACATGTAGTATTAACATGTAGTACTAACATGTAGTATTAACCACTGGTACTAACATGTAGTATTAACATGTAATATTAACATGTAGTATTAACACATGGTTTTAACACGCGGGACCCGGCTCTTTATCCGTGATCTCTTCTTTGACCGTGGATCTTTTTTTTTGTGTTTCAGTGGAGGAGGGCGGAGCTTCCCAGCGGCCACAATGGACGACACAGAGTCAGAGCCTTCCTCCGCCCCCTCCGAGCAGAACAGCCCCTCCCTCTCTGTCTCGTCCTCCCTCTCTCTCCCCTCCACGCCCTCGTCATCGTGCGCCCCCCCCCAGGCCCTCACCCCTCCCCTGGGTGTGATCAGTGAGGGGGCAGGGGAGCTCACCCTGGTCATCGACGCCGAGGTGGCTCAGCAGGCGTGTCGTGAGGTGCTGCAGAAGGTGAAGCTGCAGCAGGTGGAGGGCGATGTCACAGACCTGCAGAACGGTCCAGATCCCCCCTGCCCCCCCGCAGCCCTGACAGCTGCCGTGAAACCGACGAAGATCCGCGAGGAAGAGGACGACCCAGAAGGCCCGGCCCCCGGCTCAGTGAAAAGCGCCCGGCGGCGGCAGAGACACAATCCCTCCAAACAGTCGTGGCTGCTCCGCCTGTTTGAGTCAAAGCTGTTTGATGTTTCCATGGCGATATCTTACCTGCACAACTCGAAGGAGCCTGGCGTCCAGGCGTACATCGGGAACCGGCTCTTCAGCTTCCCCCACGAGGAGGTCGACTTCTTCCTGCCGCAGCTGCTCAACATGTACATCCACATGGACGAGGACGTCGGGGACGCCATCAAGCCATACGTGGTGGGTGTGGTCTGGGTGTGGGTGGAGCCTAACTCAATATAATTCATATAATTATTTTGACTTCACCTGTTTGACCTTTCAGACACGTCATAGTCTTCATCAGAGCTCAGTCACTACCTACAATCACCTGGTGTCACTATAGAAACCAGCAGGTAATACCCAACAACTACCTGGACTTTATAAAGATGTCATCAGTGACATCATCAAAGGGTGTTATTGAAAACATGGTTACCAAGGTAACAGCAGTTAGAGGTGGAGCCAAGAAGTTTCTTTTTTAGTTACAGATTCAGTGTGAAGGATTTAGTGATCTAGTGGTGAAGGTTTGTATTACAGCCAATTGAACCTTGGGGACATGAGGACTCAAGATGTTTTCAGACACGAACTGTGTAAAATGTTGCGTAGTCATGTTGTGAAGCAGCAGATCGTCCGACTCGTTCACAACAACAGGAACATGTGGGGGGGGACATTCAGGCAAGGGGTGGAGCCTGTAGAGCAGCAGGAGGCGGGACATGGCGTATAAATTGTGCTGTGGAAAGATCAGTGTTGTTGTTTACAGCTCGTCCACACCGGCGTCGGCCCTCATCACCAAAACATCTGGAACCTCCTCGTCTTTCCAGGAGAAGATCCAGAAAATCCCCAGAGTCACTGACTCAGACATTTATTCTCACATACAGAAGCTCCAGAACATGTGAGGAACATGTGAGGAACATGTGAGGAACATGTGAGGAACATGTGAACTTCAGTTCATGTATTG